TCAAGAGCATTGGGACTCAAGAGCATGGGGACTCAAGAGCATGGGGACTCAAGAGCATGGGGACATTGGAGCATGGGGACATTGGAGCATGGGGGACACTGGAGCATGGGGACACAGGGGCATGGGGACTCAGAAGCATGGGGACTCGAGAGCATGAGGACATTGGGGCATGGGGACACTGGAGCATGGGGACATTGGGGTTTGAAGACAGTGGGGAATGGGGACAGTGGGACTTGGAGACAGTGGGGAATGGGGACAGTGGGGCTTGGAGACAGTGGGGAACTGGGACAGTGGGTCATGGAGACAGTGGGGCATGGGGACATTGGGGCTTGGAGACAGTGGGGCATGGGGACATTGGGGCTTGGAGACAGTGGGGAATGGGGACATTGGGACTTGGAGACAGTGGGGACATTGGGACTTGGAGACAGTGGGGCATGGGGACATTGGGGCTTGGAGACAGTGGGAAATGGGGACAGTGGGGCTTGGAGACAGTGGGGAATGGGGACATTGGGGCTTGGAGACAGTGGGGAATGGGGACATTGGGACTTGGAGACAATGGGGCATGGGGACATTTGGGCTTGGAGACAGAGGGGAATGGGGACAGTGGGGCATGAGGACATTGTAGCATGGGGACACTGGAGCATGGGGACACTGGAGCATGGGGACATTGGTGCATGGGTACAATGGTGCATGGGGACACTGAATCATGGGGACACTGGGTCATGGGGACGCTAGAGCATGGGGACAAGTTAACTTATAAAATAAAATGAAAAATTGTAACATTTAATTAGAATAGTAATAAATACAATAATAGTAATTGATAACATTCTCAGTGACTGATATATGCTGTTTAGGGGTAGGGACAGCATATCTAGCGAAGTGTGTAGAGGTGAATGATTAAGGCTTCACCTATATATGCAAAAGTTCCAGAATTGACCTTCTGTTGACTTAGTGGGTTCCCTACCAGAGAGTGTCTAACACAGCTCACATAGTCACATTGTACACCAACACCAATAACAGTCAACAACAACAACATCATCAATTCCGGAAGAGTCATCTCTATAATTGTGCATCAGTCTATTTATTGGGACGAAACATAGTGTGACGATGAAGATGAATTCGTGATTACAGAACTAGTGTCTGTCTAATACTTCCAAAGCGGTATCACCTCAAAAGGTGACACCTAGCCTCGACTTGACGTGAGTTCACACCATTAACACCTTTGGCCTACAAGCCGCCCCCTGGGGTCACCAGTAGCCTTCAATAAACGCCTCGGTTATGTGCCCACACTGTGTGTCACCAATAACCTATACATAATAACTGACTAGAGAATTTGTCATCCGCACACCAAGTCTCCCGACACACAGTGGCAGTCAGACTCTAATGCTATCAGGAACACATCCTTGCAGTTGGATCATAAAATGATGTTGGGCCCTCAGCGCTTTGTCTCTATTAAATACACTCAACTGGAGCATTCCAAAATATACACTAAATTCTAGCGAACAATCTAAGCTTTTTCCAAAATAAAAATAATACACTTGATTACAACTAAAAGTCACACACGTCCTAACTCTCCGAGAGACTGAGGGGCACTAATTAGACAACCATGGATTCCTTCCAGCCCAGCTTCCGGCTAGGCGTAAGTCTCGCCACATCGTTGCAAACCCTGTTAGCTGTGAAACTCCAGAAACACCTCTTTCCCAACTTCGTGCACAGCGTGGACTTTTTTGCATTTGTTTTTCACCTCAACAATATTGACACTTTGCCCGCATCCCTGTTACTATCATCATCCAGCACATTTACAACCAGTGTAGGCGATCACGCCTCTGATGCCTGGTACAATTGAACAGCAAAGTGAGTGTTTAGCACACATCAGTGACATACAATTTAATTTGCATTTCTATCCATTTAACTGAATGAAATTGTGAGCTGTCTTCACAAGAAGGTTGGCCACAGTACAACCATTGCTGTCTTTGGAAGCATTACACATTCCAGCCGTAATCTCTTCCATGGTGCGACTCTCATACCGCTGTCCAAAAATCATGAAAGTAATTTCAATTCTGAAAAGTTGTTACTTTAATTAATAAATGTCTTGGTCTGAGCGGTTAAAGTAGTAACACTCTAGAACGGAGGAGTAAAAGAAGGAAAGGAGAAAAAGTGGTTGTGTCACAACTGGACAGATCTCAGAAAGTTCAGAAAAATGTACCATGAAAGTGAAAACCAACAAACGCAAACTGGGGATCATTGTCGAAGCTACAGTCCATGCTTTGTGTGATGCTTTCGGCAGGCGGCTATCCATTCCGAGGAGAGAGACTGAGCCATATTGGATAAAACAAGTGCATTGAAGTGGATTGAGTCATCATGAGTTGCTTGGTACAGAATCAGTTGAATAAGTGTTTTATTCTACTAAATATATATATTTTTATGTATTCTTTTTCTTACTTCTATTTGTCAGAGTGAAGTAATTGTGTTGTTCCTGTTGACAGCAAAGCTGCAATATTTGCACTTTTCGGCCGACACATCCAGCTTCATTGAGCATTTGTTGACTGGGTTAACTTCCAGGATAGTTTTGTGGAACATGCCGTAGCCCTATTTGTGTGGTCTTCTCTTTGTCCCTTTAACAACAGGTGTTATACCTGGAGAACCTGTCCAGGGCAACCACTTGTAGTGTGGTCAGCCCTCAAAGGTGGGTAGGGGCAGATCATTCTGCACCATCCAAGGAGACTTCCATAAATGCAGAGCTGACATATGGTGCTCTGGTCTTGGGCTCCCCCAAGCAATCATCATGTTCTGCATGTGACTGCTTAATATGTATCCAATTCTATATATATTATATTCCATTAAACATATATTTTATATACTTCTCACAGCTTAAGCCATTATTCTCTTGTAAAAAAAATAAAACCACTCCCATGTTAATTACTTACAGATTTGAGTCAGGAGAAATAAACGGAAATGAAAGGATATTGACATTTAGCTTTTTTTGGTTTAACCCAAGAGATTATAGCCTATCTATCATAAACAAGAAAGCTCATTTTTCATTTAACCCTGGCTGTTAACCTATTCACCGTAAACAAGAGGCCTTGTATTCAGATACATCTTCAAATGCTGACACCTCAAAAAAAGTAATTGAGAAAATAGGCAACATAAACATTTACTGAAGTGGCAAGATGTGTAGGCCACTTGTATAATCACTACAGTATATGCTGTTTGCTTGTAGATGCTGTTACTGCATCTGTTAAGCTATAAAGGTAAAAATATAATTTCAGAGCTGAAGAGTATGGTGCAAAACACTTAAGGAAGACAACTCAACATTATTAACTAATTTGTGTTTGACACTAAACTGTATTTGTTTGTTGAGCTTTCTCCACACCTACAAGTCTAGCCCACACAGGTTTAACACTGAAAGCACTTACACACTACTGATCATCGCATTATAGTTTTTGTATTGAATATAAGAAGTGGCTATCGTTTTAACAATCACCTTATTTTTCAATGCATTTGACGCCCCTATGTATAACGACTCTTATTTTTTTTGCCCAAAATTAAGAAATAAATATTTTAAACACATTCATTATAAAGGATGGCCCTCCAATTTTAACTTAAAAATTTTGGTGAAATATTAGATTTTTTACATGGAAAAAATACTGTAATAGATGTTGAAACATTATAGAATGAGGTGAAGTAGCATTGTTTGAGCCACTTACATTAGACTGCAGGTTACTTCATAGTTGTCAGGTGTCAACACCGGGGTGAAAGGAAATGTAAGAGCCCACAGACTGGCCGTGTCTGCCGTGGCTGATGGAGGAAGAAGTGTGGACAGGGCAGAAATACTGAATGTGCTGCGTTCTAGAGACTTTGAAACAAAAAAGTCAGAGACAGTTAGCCACTTGCTGGAAATGGGTAGTAAACAGGGGCAAGCATGTAGAAACTGGTTGTGGGGCAAAGACAGAGATATGCCGATCAACTGCTACTGTGTATGAGGAGCATGGAGATACTGTGGTGGCTGCTGCATTGGGGGATGGAGCGTGAGTGGTTCAGACTAGTGTACTTGAACATTAATAGGGACAATAAGTAATAAGTATGTCAGGTGCCATAAGTGTATTATACGAGTGAAAGGAATTTCTGAGAATTGCTGCTGTTGGATTCTCATCCGAATATTGTCTATTTGGGTCGCTGGGTGTTAGTCTTTCAGTCTACAATCTTACAGGGGGGAAAATTTAAAAAAATAAAAAATTGTTTGGGACTGATAGAGGGAATTTGAATATTCTACTTCACTCCATCTTTTATCACTATCATGTGTCAGGGGAAATATAAGGTTCTGCTTCTTGCTCTGCTACTGCTGGCTGTTGGATTTGTTTCATGGTGTGGGGCATCGCAGGTCGATCCAGCCTTAAACGGGTACCAGGATGTATGTCCTGGGGAAGTAAAGATGACTGGCGTAATGCTGACCACATTACCCATCTAGTGCCGACTGGTCTATAAAAATATGGGTGCTCTTCCCATATGCCCTTAAGGCATGAAAAGGGATCTTTACTTACTTTACTTTTACTTTCTTGCTCTTCTGGTCGCCTCAAATATACTTACACCATGCTGTTGTAGAGTTTCTCCTATATTATCGTTTAATCTTGTTCTTAACCTACCTTATGCTCTATGTCTTATTCCTCTTTTGGTGTCTGCCTTGTATGGTATGGCATCATCAGGCATGCTGTCTAAGTGGGCTATTTCATTTGCTGTCTTCGTATGTAATTTAGAATTGGTTCTGTGCCAACTTTTTCTCGTACAGCCTCATTTCTGATTTTACCTCTTCTGGTCACTCCTACAGCCCTTCTGAGACATGTCCATGGTTACTAATTTTATTTTCTTATTTGTTGTGAGTGCCATGTCTGCCCCTGACAGCACTGAGTGGGAATTAATATGCTTTGTTTGAGATGTTTCTTTGTGCTGATCAAGTGAAGATTACAAACGTTTATACTTATATTCAGAAAGCAACTCCAGCTATGGTCCTAGCCGCTGTCGTCAGATTCTTTACACTGGCTGTTCTGGCCTGCATTATTACCCAGGGTTCAGCTCAGAGGTCACGAGAGGGACGTCAGAGATGGTCCGTGTTTGAGTATCCGAACCCACAGTATGATTACAGTCAGTGTGGGAGACCTAACACGTCTTCTGTCTGTGATCCCAATGGCATCATTTCAAGGCAAGATGGTGAGTTCCTGTCAGTTATTAAAGTTCCTAGGATATTTTCTTCTTTTACTACTACTACTTAAAAGGGCGTTGTAGTTTATAGGTCTGCTATGACATATCGACCTTTCAGACGAACACATTAAATTTCGACAAACCAGTAATTAGGTGCATTTTACGACATGTTAGAGTGACTTTGCCCTAAAAGGGGAACTAATACTGGGACTAGGGTATTCTAAAGCTAACATTTTTAACTGCAGTGGCATAGTGGTAAATGTGCTGGCCTATTGAGCTTGCAGTCCAGGTCAATCTATTAAATGGCAGGATTTTTACAGACTAGTATAGCTCTGGCTTTTGAAAGAGGTAAGAGCCCAATGACAGTGTATCACAGACATCAGAAGGAGACAGTCATCATTTTTCAGCCATGTTGTGAGAAGACTTAAAATGAAACATTTTGTGACCACTGGAAAGATCTGTGGAAGGAGGGATAGAGAAAGACAACAAGAGAAGATTCTTGACAGTATTTTTGCCTGGCATGGAGGTGTGTCAGCACACGAACTGATACATGCTGCAGGAGATCGCAGATTCTGGGGAGGCATGATCACCCACACCAGTAGGCAAGGCACCTGATGATGATGATGATGAAAGCTCTGGGGTTCACTAGCCTTATACAACTGTGTGCCAGATAATTTCCTGAATTGTTTGAGAAGAAAAGATGATGAGGCAGGGAACTAGCCACTACTTCTCATATGTCATGGCCTAGAAAATGTGCCAAGGCCTCACTCCACACATTCTTTCATTATTCTATTGTGCCATTTTATGTGAGAGCTCATATTTTTTCAGTCTGTTCTATTTCATGCAATCAATTCAGCAGCATAAATCAAATCCCGTCCAGCAGTTTTGTCTTCTCTCATCAATGTTCACTTTTGGGTTTCTCTTGGATGCCTTCAATTTCCCATTTCAGTGCCTGTTTGGAGATTCTATGTTTGGTGATTATCTGTTTAGAGATTCTATGTTTGGAGAGACTCTGTTTGGAGATTCTCTGTTTAGAGATTCCCTGTTTGGGGATTCTCTGTATCTTCTCAGAATGTGCATGCCATCTTTTGTCTTATAACTGTTGGTACTAGTGGTTGCCCAAACGTTTCTCTTGTATCTTTACTCCTGTAGAATTTATCCAATTTTATGTTCATTTTCCTCAGAAATTTGTTTTATATTGTATTTTTTTACCTTTCGTTCCAAATCTTTAGTGGTACTTCACCCAACAGTATCTGTTAAGGGACTATCTTTTATTTTCATGTAGGTTCTGGGGCTCTATTGGGGGTTGGGGGGTTGGGGGGAGAGATAGACCCAGTCTCTTCCCCCCCCCCCCCCCCCCACCAACAAGCATGTCATAAAAGTGCTTCCTTCAAAGTAGGAGTGCATCTGCTTGGGAGATGAAGAACCAACAGTCTGTAGACAAATAAGCCAGGTCTGTAAAATGGATGTGCATCAAAATCTCAAGTTCTGGAATAATACTAATGCCCAGAAGTGGATAAACAATCAGAACTTTCCATGCGAGTTTACATTTGGTGAACATAAAGAAGAACATAGTTCTTTTGCTGTGAAGGCTTCTGTTTTCTCACAAAATGTTGCATAGAATTCTATGCAGAGCTTTAGTCTTCAGTAATGCTGGGATTTTTAAAAACTAAAGGGAGTTAATCAGGCAAGATGTAAATTATTAAACTCAGTGCCTCACCACTTTTAATGCCCTTGACTACCTTGTTCATATAAAGTACGCTTTATTTTCATTCACAGTCTCCACAATCTATAATTTGTTTTTATTTCCATGAAATGTTAGACATTCTTTTGAATTCTCACAGCTGATATCATTGATGGATTGATCAGTGCACTGTACAGGGAGACAATTTGTCAGTGCTACGACTGTATCACTAACAAGCATGGGCACATTATCAAAGTGGCACTTATGCCAGAAATGGAGAGAGTGTTTCCGTAAGTAGTGCCCTTCCGATAGTTGTCTCAAAAGTTTCAAATTTAATGTAATATTTTGCAAAAACAATCTTTTCAGAATTATAAGGTAAAGTCTATAAATTTATCTTTTTCAGCCATCTCTGGTCATGCGCATAATCCACTGTGGGTCATAAACTGGGATGTCTTTTCACTTTTCAAGGTCTCTTAGGCTTCCCCAAAGCTTAGTTGTCAGTTCTACTGGGTGTTGCAATATGTTGCTCCGCAGCTCCATCAGGAAAAAACAGTCTTGCAGGACATGTCCTGGAGTCTGTTCAGCACGAAGGCACTGGCAGAGAGCTGTTTGGCTCATACCTAATTTATATGAGTGTTTATCGAGTCTGCAGTGTCCAGTACATAAGCAAAAAAACTGTGACTTGCGGTCTGTTCTGTTCAAATGTTTCAGAAAATCTTTTTCGTAGTTATAACCAGTGTTGGTTTTCCATCTGTTTCTAATTTTCTCTTAATGAGAGTTTTGACTTCTGGAAAAGATAGTGGCTGGTAGGTCTGTGGTTTGTTACTGCCTTCCCTGGCTAAAGCATCAGCGCTTTCCTTGCCTTTGATGCCACAGTGGGATGGAATCCACTGCAAGTAAATTTCTGCCTTTTTTGACAACATAGCAAGTTCCTTTGTTAGACTTTGTAGTGTGCTGTCGGTAGGTTTGGACTCAATGGCCTGTATAGCTGACAGTGAGTCAGTGAGAAAAACCATCCTGCCTGCGTCTATAAATTAAATATAAAGTTTTTTTTTGGTTTACATAAAGTATATTAAAAGTTGAACATCACTGCTTATTGCATTTACACTTTCCCTCTATTGTGTTAATTAATCTGGTCATCTCCTTGTGAGATACAATTTTTTGTTATTTGAAGCCCTACTCTGGCTCTTGCCAGGGGCTGCAATATAGCCTGACCGTAAATATGGTCTAATGTCTGAACCTGGTTTCTGGGACCTCTCCACGGGTGATCCTCATCCGCATGGTGGCACCTTGTGTCATCGGGTGTTTATCGCTTGTATGATGTCCTGTTGGGGTAAAAGTAGATAGATAGATTCCCCTCTATTTTTTTTCAGCATCAGTTGTCCCTATGTGGGATGTAATTTTTTACCAGGGGCCCTGAATATAGCCAGGCCATAAATATGGCCTCACGGCTGAAAGAGGTTTCTGGAACCTCTCCATGGGTGATCCTCATCCGCGTGGTAGCACTTTGTGTCACCGGGTGTTTATCGCTTTTATAATGTCCTGGTTGTGTACAACTACCTACCTTTCCCTCTATTTCCCTACATAATCCCCACTAGCATTGACACTATTATCACAGTACTGTTACATTAATATAAAAATCGACATCGCTTAGTGCAACAAAGCCTGGCATATGATATCATAACATCTTGTTTGAGAATGGATGTGGAGGCAGTCACTGCTGCCTTCCGTTGGTTTGAGAATCAGCTGTACATATATGCTGTAACTGTAACTGATTCACAGAGCCTGTTGAGAAAGTTGGAGATTTGCATGCTCTATGCAGAGTGGCAAGCATCACTTCAGAGGTCCCAGGTAGTTAGCATTTGGATATTTTCTATAGAGATGCGAGTGTGTTGGGAAATGAGCAGACAGATAGACTGGCTGGTTCTGCACCACTTGGTGGTGAACTGATGTATGCCAAGCTAGATGTTGTGAGGACCCTTTGGGAGCCAGTGAACAGTTGGTACAAATAGATTATTATGGTCAGTGGAGAATGGCGCTGCGAGGAGTTACCAGGGGTTCTGGCCAATGCTCAACACGCAAGGAAAGAGCAAGATGGAAATACATTCAGACCCTTACTGGTACCATTGAAATTGGAACTCTTCGCTTGCTCGTTTGTCCCAAGTGCTGTGATGTCCATACTTAATTCAACATTCAAAATAAAATGTGTTGCACAGAGGTGTTTCTGCTCTGCTGGTTGGACTGCCTCTGCTTAAGAGGCAAGGAACCAATAGTCTGCATACAAATAGGCCAGGTGTGAACGCAGAACTGATGTTCTGGAACAAGACTTAAGTCCAGAAGTATACAAAGAATCAGAACTTTCTATTGGAGTTCAAAACCTTTTTAGCCAATGATGTCAAAGAAGAAGAACAAGACTGAAAGTATAAAAGATATAAGGCTGTGGATTGACATGACTATGAATAGTACACTAGGGTCACAATATTAGAAAGGGCAAAAAAGGGACAATGGCTCTTAGCTATTGCTGTTTTATAGATCAGTTCTGTAATCAGTCACCTTTTATGTCATGCTTGTTTAAGGGCAGTGGATCTATTCTTTTATTTCTAAACTGAGTCCTGGGAACCCACATGGGAAGGCTGTACAATAATTACGGTAACTGAAAATTACTGTTTTTATTTATTCCTCTTTACAAAAGTGATGGTGAAAACACAACGCTTGCTAGGCTGAGGGATGCCCAAATGTACTCATACATTCTCACCCAGCGATGGAGGATGGAAGGCGCATGCAATGAATCGCTTCTAATCTTATTTTCTAGAAATGATGGAATTGTAAGTTGTTCTGTGTTAAATTTTGAATATGTGTTGAGCTGTATATATTATTTGTGGCACATTGGCACTTCTGATCAAAGTGGACGCTAGGCACGGTCGCAATTTTGGCTGTGGAAAATTTGTTTGCTTCTGCCAGATGGTGGCTGTTGTATTTTTGCTCCATTTGGAGACTGAAAGGATATAGTTTAATTGCCCAGCACCTGAGCTGAGTGCATATGACACTGTGAGCTGCAGATTTAATTTGGAATGTTTCTCGACTGTGACCAACATAGTGTTGTGAATTGTAAATTCAGAAAATGGCACATGGCCTGTCATCGCAATATTGGTGGTGTATTTATGTGATTAAAATTGATGGCGTGTGCAACTGCTAATCTGTTGGTGACTTCTGCTACCCTCGATGATGAACTGCATTTTTAATGTTGGACTGTTTTCGTTAGCACTTCTGATGGCTACCATATGCTTTTAAAGTGTGTGTACGCTAGGATATGCTGAGACAGCAGTCTGTCAATCTTTCCACAAGGGACTGAGATGAACATTTTGTGTGTTTTTGGTTGGCACAGGAGCGGAGCAACTAAGGGGTGACCCATTTGCTATGAAGCTGAAACTAAGATCACCAAGATATTATTTATATGATTTGAAAAAATTCCTTTAAAAATATATTGAGGTAAACAACAGATGTACACCTAAGTGTTTCTCCACCATTCTGTACTCACATAGTCAGAAAAACAATAACTACCTATATGTTTCTCAGTCTTTTTCTATTTGCCAATTTTTTCAGATTTAAAATATATAAAAAATTTGTAACACTGTTCATCCAGGCCAGCAGTACTCAAACTGGGTGTCGCGGCACCCAGGCGTCCCGGCACCCAGGCGTCCCGGCACCCAGGCGTCCCGCAAACGTATACCAAGGGTGTCGCGGCACCCAGGCGTCCCGGCACCCAGGCGTCCCGCAAGCGTATACCAAGGGTGTCGCGGCACCCAGGCGTCCCGCAAGCGTATACCAAGGGTGTCGCGGCACCCAGGCGTCCCGCAAGCGTATACCAAGGGTGTCGCGGCACCCAGGCGTCCCGCAAGCGTATACCAAGGGTGTCGCGGCACCCAGGCGTCCCGCAAGCGTATACCAAGGGTGTCGCGGCACCCAGGCGTCCCGCAAGCGTATACCAAGGGTGTCGCGGCACCCAGGCGTCCCGCAAGCGTATACCAAGGGTGTCGCGGCACCCAGGCGTCCCGCAAGCGTATACCAAGGGTGTCGCGGCACCCAGGCATCCCGCAAGCGTATACCAAGGGTGTCGCGGCACCCAGGCGTCCCGCAAGCGTATACCAAGGGTGCCGTGGCAATAATAAAGAATTGTTCAAAATCTGCTTGAGATCATCCAAGACAGCAGTTTAAAACAGAAATACCACTAAGGAAGCCAAGAAGAGTTCTGGATGCAGGTGTATTCTGAAGACAATACTATCGTCAAGGCTGCAGTGCATTCTCAAAATATGCTTAAATTAAAAAATTGATACAGGAGCAAACTTTCTGGGTCAAGTGATTTGAGGTTAATATTAACCCTAACTTCCCATAAAGATAAAGGAAATAATGAAAAATTAATTCAAACAGTATAATTCATCGCCTTAAAGACAGCCGAACATTAAAAGCACACTTTTTTTTTTCTCCCTTTTTTCCTAAGTATTCAAACCGTTTTAGGGTTAGGTCGTTTGGCCCACATAGGCAGAATTACAAGTGGTCATTTGGCCCACATAGGCAGCATTACAAGTGGTCATTTGGCCCACATAGGCAGCATTATAAGTGCATTTAAATTTGTAAATGCAGTTTCATGTGGCATACATAGACGATGGCTCTTTCACTGGTGGAGTTTGAATGGTAGTTTTAAACTTTATTACAGCCACAGTAGTGTCCGACTGTTCTTATGAGCTGGCCATATAAATGCTGCATAACATCATCCTTTAGAAATGCTAGATGGACGTAAACTTGTTTTATAGGCACCAACATTTCTGTAGTAGTTGGTTTTGATGGTAACTGCTTATGGAAACAGGTCTGCATACAACCAAAAGAAATCAAACTCCAAATTAAAATGTCATTTGTTGTCCATTATAATTACATACTGGCTCCCAAGTCAACCCAGCCTATAATGGGTATCAGGCAATATCCTAGGAAGTAAAGGTGGTGTTGACCATATCACATATATATTGACATATATATAAAAAGGTCTAAAATATATAATTCATATGTTCCATGCGCCACTGGAGTAAAAGAGTCCTTTACTTACCTTTTTTTTTTTTTTAACTTTACCTAGAAGTATTTAAATTTTTTAAAAAAGCTATTCTTGATGTCCTCACAGCTTTACACGCTGACCAGACAAATCACCAGAATCAAGCTGTCTGATGAGGATGTTAAGAAAATTTCTCTGATAGTACGTCATTTCTTTGATCGTCCTGAAACCATTGCCTCAGGTCTCAGAGAAATGATACATCGATACAGGTAAAAACCAATTTTTGTTTTTGTTTTTGATTTTGTGGTTCTTAACTATAATTTTTTTTTATAAGAGACTCATAGATTCTTTCTTTTGTGTGTCACAGTCACAAATAAAAACTTTCATCATTTTAAAGAATGTGGACACAAACATTACATTGTACATTTGAATGTAGATTCTTTCTTTTGTGTGTCACGGTCACATAAAAACTTTCATTTTAAATAATGCGGACACAAACATTACATTGCACATTTGAATGTAGATTCTTTCTTTTGTGTGTCACGGTCACATAAAAACTTTCATTTTAAATAATGTGGACACAAACAATACATTGCACATATTTTTGCCAAGCATATTTCGCTTTATTTTGTCAGGTGCATTACTACAGAATTACATTAACATAAAAGGAAGCACACACAAAAACTTAAAAAATTCCAGTGAAGTACAAATGGTCTCTCTCAATTCATTGTGTTCGTCTGAGCACCGAAAGTTCAAGATAGTTGCATGACTTACCAGGGTAACATCAGATTTATAATGAATTCCTTCTGTAGAAGAAAAAAACATTGTTTTTGATCATTTTGAATGTTTGTTTGGTAAGTATAAAAAATAAATAGTATAAGTAGGACCATTTTCACCACATGATGCAAGATGGTATATGATGATAGATCTATATTTTCAGAGACTAACTGGCACTCAACGGGTGGTCAATTCTACTTACCAGCACATTCCTTATACATATATTAACTGTGCCAGTTTGGCAGCCCTAGTCAATTATACAAATCTGCCCAAGAAGAACATTTCAGTTATAACTCTTTGAATCCCAAGCAATGCATAAAGTATCTTGCTCTTTTCATTGAATCCTAAAAATCACATATTGTGTTATTTCACTGTTCACATTTGATGGGGAATGCTAGTGAAATCTGGCTTCCTGTGATGTACTTCATTCACTGTGCACTTTGCCTTATAAGTTATAGACTTGGGATTCTTCGTAGTAGTTATTACGCCCCTTGGAAATATATGCAAAACTTTCTAAGATTCAAAAAAGTAAATCAGGACAATGCAGGATAATAATCCAGACATTGGCACAACACTGCAGGCTGAACATCCAGCCATTCAGAGGTTCAAAAATAAATTTATGTGTTCAGACCTTTGCTGGCTTGTTACAAAATGCAGTGTGAATTTTATGAATGCAAAAAACAATTGTGGACTGATATAAAAATAAATGAAGCAGTCTTCCTCAAGACAAAGAAGAATCATATCATCATTATCATGTAGCAGGTCCTTTTGCAGAGCGCCGCTCTCATCACGGCCTGCATGAAAAAAACTCAGTCTCTTGCCAGCTCTCCCACTTTATCTTCTTTCATACTCAATAGTCACTTATATCCTGTGCCCATCTTCCTGTTGATCGACCCCTGCCTCTCCTTCTTGGTACCATGTCTTCTGCTATTATTTGTTCCAATCCGTCGTGGCACTCGATATGACCAACATATTTCAGCTTCTGAGACAGGATGCTGTTTATTAGTTAGTCTACCTTGATGTTCAGATCTTTTGAGATGTCAGTATTTCTGAAGAATCATATACTGATTAGAAAAACTAGACATGGACAGCCAGTGTTTTTTAAACAAGTTCTGAGAAGGAATGGACCCAAAGACATGGTAGCGACTGCAACCATCTCTGTCAATTTCTCCTCATGATGTGCCCAATATACTGCAACCATCTCTGTCTTATGACTGATAAAACAAGCGGCTGTCCAGATATTTCTATAGCCCCATCAAACACTACATCACTTTACGACAGATATCTCAGAATTATATTTTCTCATCTGTTCATGTATTTGAACAACATGTATTTGTATGATATCCCTGTATAAATCTGGCCACTGCTGTAGTGAATTGGCAAGCATGCTTACCTGGTGTTTAAGTGTTTAATCCTCTACAACTCTACTATATGCCTAGTATATTTGATTGCATAAAAGGTGGTCTTTTACCTTTTTTAACACTTTTCTAAATAAATCTGTTGCAGGCTTATCTTTGAAAACAAGCACAGTGAAGCTTTCCAGTCTGTAACACAACAAGGATAAAAGATACATAATTTTTTTCAGATGCTGAAAAAGCAAAATACTGAAAAGTAATACATAGTAACTCTGAATTAGAGGAATAGAAACAAAGCTATCATTTAGTCGATTATATATTTATATTACTTGTGTTAAGTTTGATGTAATAATTCAGTTGTCATATATGTGTTCTTTTATGTATATTTTTATTTTTGTATTTTTAAAGAAAAATTTTTCACTAGTCAAATTGTATGGTACTTTGATTTCATCCTTAGCTCTATAGTTAGCTTCCATCTATCAATACTGTTGTGAATTACTGGAGTTCAAGGACAACAATGGACATCATACTAAACTTAGAGATACTAAAAAGAGTAAAAAGCTTTTTCTATCTTGGACATGCAATAATCTCACATAGGCGAAATAAAAATAAAGAGATAATAGGAATTGCCAAACAGCATAAGAAAGATAGTAGTGTCAAGAGAGATAAACAGCACTTACAAATTAAAATTGAATCTACTCTACTGTATGGTTCAGAAACCTGGGTAATAAACAGTCAGTTTAAAAGTTAAACTGAGTTTCTGCATATGTGGATGCATAGATGAATAAGTCATATTCCTTGAAACATTTGAAAATGAAATACAGAAGTTTTGAAGAGAAAGTTATTGATCCCTGTCCCAATTTGGGATGTACTTTTTTTGTTTTCTGATTTCAAAGATCACCCCTGCTTTCGTCAGGGGTCCTTAATATATGCTATGTATTGAACAGGGTTTTTGGGACTTGGGTCTGGATGTTTCTCATTCAAATAGTGGCACTTTATGTCACCGGGTGTTTATCCTTCATCGTGCAGTCCTGGTCAGAGAAAGGAATGAACAAACAAATAAAGTTCATTTTCAAAGGGTTAAAAATTGGGCATGCAGGTCCCTCTAATATTCTGCCCTTCCAGTCCACTTCTTGCATACAGTTATTCTTTCTTTCATAATTTCTTAGTTTATAATTTTAAAAAATTTCACAATATCAAAGTCTCAATTACAAACACTGGAATATGCTTTAATTAAACTTAACATTACTGAACTTTAAACAAGTATAGTAATAAACCTAATCCAATAATATTATAAGTCTAATAGGTTGCATAATATAAACATCATTGATGACAATTAAATCTTAGTTACAGACGCTGTAATGCGGTCGATTGGCACCTACATTTTTCAACAATGATAACTTCAGTAAAAAAAGTAATTAAAAAGAAGGTAGCTGAAGGAAATAAAAATAGACAGGTGAAAAATTTGTCACATTGAAAGACATAATACTGCTACAAAAACAACAGTAAAGAGAGAAAAAAGAAAGGCAAGCAAGAAGTGGACAGTGATACAAGTGGGAGACTAACATCAAGAGATAAACAAACAACAGTCTAAAAAAGTATACAACCTAGCAATAGCCATAATTTGTCTAAAGATGCTGATCGAAAAAATATATAGAAAATCACAAAAGCATTTATGCATGTTTTAAAGATTACAAGAAGGCCTCTGACAGGGCACTACATGAAATGCTTATTGCATGCTTCAGAATATATGATTTGATGGAAAGGATATCAGAATTATTAGTAACCTATAATGGGAACAAATAGCAAAAAGTCAGACACAACATTCTCTTAACACAGATACAGATAAAAAGAAGATTATGTCAAGGATGTATGTTACCCCTAACTTTTTTTCAACTTATAAACACAATTTTTTTTCATGAGTTAGAGAATTACGTGGACTGAATATAATTGAAAGAATAAAAAACAATCCGAGATTAGCTGATGAAAAAAGAATTACTGACATAAATAAAAAAGAGACGACTGAAATATTTTGGCCACATTAAAAGAAAAAACACTCTTTTAAAAACTATACTTGAGGGAAAGAACGGGGGCAAGAGATCTAGAGGTAGACAACAAGTGGGAGGATATCATCAAATGGACACAGCAGTCTGAGAGAGTGTACAGCCAAGACAAGAGACAGAGCATGTTGGAGATACATTGCAACTAACCTTAATTGTGGAGACGGCAACTGATTGATTGATACAGCTAATTTGCAAACAGAATGCCTGATTTCTATCCGTAACAACTTTGTATCATGAGAGAAGGAGTTAGATTGAATTACCATGCAGCAATTTCAATTTTATTCTTTGTTAGCCTCTGGCTACCAGCCATTACAATATTTAAAATGTGAAATGTGCCATTTTGCTATGTTTATAGTAAGTGTTTTGTAATTAAATTTGAAAATATATGCCAATATTTAAAACAAATTTAAATAGAGGGAAGTATATTCTTCAATAAAAGAGAAATGATTGATTTGGTTAAAATATTATTATATATTTTTTTTTCTGCTGCTGTTCTTTTTCTTTTCTGCTCAAAATACTCATATAGAACAAAATATGTTTTTGTTTCTGTAAATTACTTAGTTGGGAGATAATTTTAATTTGCTTGATATTTAAATGTCCCCATCATTATATACATCACAGTATTACATTTCTTATGTGTGTCGCGTCGTGTTAATCTACTGGAATTAAGGTACAAAGCTTCAGGACGTATCACCCTTTTTTTTAAAGATTTGTGTCATACTCATGTGTGTATTCTTGGGCAGATAATCCAGTGGTTCCCTTTGACTTCCACATTCAGAGATTAGAAGACATTGGTTGCATTCCTGTCTCCCTGCTCACACACAGGACGGGGGGAGGGGAGGGTGTTAACTTGTGTAGCTGTAAAGTAGCTGTAATTGTTTCACACTGACCAAAAATGTATTCTGTTGGACTGGCATCTGAAGAGTGGCTCTTTGAGTCACAGGGTGTCAGATTTTCAAGTTGCAGTCTCAAAGAAGAAGAGTGGGGAGGGGGGGATGGGTAGAGAACCATCACCTGATTTGTGTGTAGCCTTTGCTTTTGTCTGCAATGTCTTCCTGAAGACAAGTATGTGCTTTGCTTCGTTCAAGTGCTGGGGGGAGGGGGGGGGAGGCAGGAGAATAGACCCACTGCCTCATTTTTGGGAATGCAAAAAAATTAATGATGGTTTTTCTGAAGTTGGAGTGCATCTGTCTGAGAAGAGAGGAACCAACAGTCTGCGTACAAATAAGTAGATCTATAAAACAGATGTGCACACAAAATTAATGTCCTGGACCAAGACTAAAGTCTGGAAGTGGACGAACAACCAGAACCTTCTGCCAGATTTTACAGGTGCTGAGTGCTAAGAAGAAGAAGATAATCAGTCTCAAGAAGTGTATTTGCACATTCTTGCATGATCCACTTTCTATCACTAGTAGCTACCATTGTTAGTTTTACTTACTTGACATGATACCATGATAGTATTTCTCATACTGTCCAGCATTTTAGAATACATGTCATCATCATAAAGGAGTTATGTTGCACTGTTATATCAAGCTGGTGCTTATTTCAGAGCTTTCCAAATTTAATGTTGATGAAATTTTTTAGCCAAACAATTGTGCAACACACTAAATGGTCTACTAGCAAAGATGAGGTTAAAATAACCACTTTTATAAGATATGTCAGCTCTGTGGCTAAGCTAAACTAACCTATATAAGATAATGACACATTTATAAATTACTTTCATGTTATACACCATCACCCTGTAGATGACACACTAATGTGTTGCCACACACAGTTTGGAAAAACCTAATCTGTAATGTATTGACAAAACTGAGGATTTTTTTCTTCTTCCTTTCTCCCTACATTTTTAAGCTATCCACCTTGTAATATTTTATACAATAAATAAATATTCTTTGCCTGATTGTCCAAGCATTTTTCTTTAATTAAATATCATAATTTTGCAGAGGAGTATTTTGGTATTAACTTAAATAGGCAGAAAAAACAATAAAATGTAAATTTGACTTAACACCTGAAATTGTAGAAGAAATATAACGTGCACAAAGCAAAGGGAAAACAACACTAAAGATGGAATAATGGGATCAAAAACAACCTTGGGTATGTAAACCAGCTTCAGTGCATTGCAAAGAAAGAAATATTCTTTTACCATATCACTGCCCAAAGTAACAAGCCGAAAAGATACTGAAAAGAAGACCCGCTGTGTTATGCTGTTTGATGTTAATCACATTCTTCAGTTCTTGATGTCTTTGTGGGTTTACTTAACTCTTTTACTACAAAGCAATTGCTAGTTTTTTGTTTTTTTTTAAATCCTGTTACAGTAAGTAAAGTAAAGATCCCTTTTTATGCTTTGGGGGCATCGAGCATTTGGGAAGAGCACCTATATATTTTTACAGACCAATCGGCACTGGTCGGGTAATGTGGTCATCATTACGTTGGCCGTTTTTACTTTTCCAGGACATACATCATGGTGCCCATTTAAAGCTGGGTCGACCTGCGACACCCCATACCATGATAAAAATCCACGCAGCCAGCAGTGGGTTTCGATGGCGCTACTTTGGAATTACGAGTCGGACTCGCAACGCTTAAGCCCTGTTATAGTACTATTAACTTTTGTTCCCTATTTAATTGTTATGTTAGCACAATATGTCTCAGTGGCTGCCATACATTCTTCTTTCTAATGGTACTGATATTATTTCCCTGTTACCCCCAAGCATTTATTACTGAAACTAATAAATTCTTTAGGTCTGATGAGTTAAATATCACCCACCTAGGACTGAAAGAGTTTAAGACACAGATGTACCTGTCAGGTCGCATCTCTCAAATATATCAGATGTTTTTCTGTAATTTACAATAAATGAATATAAAAGGCAAGAGGAGTTTTTAAAAGCACTAGATAATCTGGTAAATCAAATGCAATTAAGAATAAAAACAAACTACACACAAAAATTAACTCTGATGTAAAATCACTGCTGATGTATGGTGCTTAAACATGGAAAACAACTAAGGTAATTACATGTAAACTACACAGTCATTATTTTAACAAAGGTGGCTGGTTACATACACCAAATTTTCCCCTCAAGGCTCACTTCATCACCTACCTAGAGAGGGACAGTGTATTATATTCAGACTTTCCTGTGTGAGTTTCGGGG